AAAAAAAAAAAAAAAAAAAAAAAAAAAAGTCACTAAATCACCATTTTGGGAGTTAACATTTACACACTATTTTAACAGATAAGAAAAATTAGGAAAAATGTCTCAAGATCACACAGTAGGTTACAGAACAGAAATTCATCATAAATCATTTTACTTCAACTTTATATCTTTGGAGCTCAAAATTTTCAACCTACAGATTAAAATGTAGATCTCCATAATTTGTCTCACATTTTAATGCAATTTAAACTGGTGTGAGACTGGGAGAGACTCCAGATGCTTGACAGAGAAAAAAAAAAAAACAAAACCAAAACACAATACTCTCTAGAGGAAGTATCATTTTTGGTCTTACATTATTCCTTCAAGTAATTGCTTGAATATAATATTCAAAACAGAAGTCAAAAATATCGTGTAAAATGAAATTCTATTTCATATATAGAACTGGCAGAAATAGTATACAACAGAAATAGATCATTCAAGGACTCAGATACTGAAATTTTCAGATGCATATTGTAAAAATTATGTTACTGTGTTTAAGGAACTATAGGGCAAATTGATAGGAAATTGGAAACCATATGAAGTGTCATTACACAATTGGAAAGAACTAAAGAGAAATTTAAGAATTGGTAAAGACAATATCCAAAGAATTTAATGACTGAGTTAATCAGCAGATTAGTAACAGATAAAGAGAGAATTAGTGACCTGTAATAGCTCAGAATTAATGCCCATGGTGCAAAGGAATAAACAACTAGAAAATCCCAAAGCAAGAGTAAAGAGATGAGAAGTAGAAAGACAGGGAGTCTGATGATCCCAAATACTGCTAAGGATATGAAGAAACAGGAGCTATCATTCACTATTGCTGGATGTTTAAATTTGTTCAACACTTTATTTTTAAATTTTTAAAGTTTATTTATTTATTTTGAGAGAGAGAAAGAAAGAACACAAGCAGGGGAGGGGCAGACAGAGAGGGGGAGAAAGAGAATCCCAAGCAGGCTCTGCACTGTCAGCACAGAGCCCAATGAGGGGCTTGAACTCACAAACTGCAAGATCATGACCTGAGCTGAAATCAAGAGTCAGCCTCTCAACTGATTGAGCCACCCAGGTGCCCTGGTTCAACACTTTAGAAAACATCTTGACATGCTTGGTAGAGAATGGAGATGTTTATAGGCAAATTACTTTTGCTTGTTTTTGAATGTTAACAGAAATATTTATCTAGCCATGAAGACATGTACAGCAATGTTCTAACAATTTCAATTCTTGGGTATGAACAGTTAGAGAATTTTGGGTACCAAAATATATACCCAAGAATGCTTATGGCAGCATTGTTTGTAATAGCCCAAATCTGGAAATAATTAAAATCCAAATGTTCATCAATATGGAAAAGATAAATATAGTTTGGTATATGGATGCAATGTAATA